TAAACCTGGAGACGACATCGCCCCTGTGATCGGACGGCGGCGCGGGTTCGGGACGGCCGCCGGCGTTGGAAGTAGTCGAGGCTTTGCAGGACCTTTTCATGGTCGCTAGTGGTGGGGTTGCATTCGAAACTCAGGATTTGTCATTTGTGATGAACAGATTTAAGGGAAATTGAAGTGGGTTGGCTCAGTTCTTGATTTATAACTGTACCGTCGCAGAAGTACGTGCGGTTGGCGAATTTTCCGTGGAATTTGTACGCTGTGTCCCGAGTCTACTCGTCAGTTTTTTCATCGTTTATCACGCACGCGCACGTACATATAGTTTGGTGTGCAATGTACTTATGTGAACAGTGAAATCTACGTATAATTTGTGTGATTCTATCTCTGTTTCTTCGGTTTGTATGAAGAAAGAAGAGTGAACTAGCTGTTCGGCTTTTAAGAAAAATATTACTTTTCAATTATTTTTAAGTGAATCGGGTCAGCCCGAAACTGTCGGTTCACTAAACCGGCCCGTATATATTTCTGGACCGGTTCAGGACCTTCAAAACTGTGGCCCAGAACCAATTAGGATCTAATTTGGCTATGTCTAAATCCCAGTCGGGCTTCCGAGTTTCCATCTTCTCTACGCGCCGAAAATATTGGTGGCCATGGCCGGGGTTGGTGGTTATGTCGGGGGTGGAATCCGACGGTTCACCGGCGATCTCGTGGAGGCGGGTGCTGTCAGTCGCCTTGCGGCAGTCGGGGCTGAGATCGATGCCTTGGTCGTCCCCTTTTCTTGTGTTTCCCTAGTGTTACGGATGGCGGGTCTCTCCGGTGGTAGCGGTGTTGCGACTCTCGGTATATGCATGGGGAGAGTTGTGGTGCGGGTCTCCTTGTGTCGACTCTGCGGTGAACTATTGGTAAGTTTTATGGGTTGTTGGTCCAAATCTAGTTAGTCGTAGGAGGAGTTTCTAGTTCCTCTGTGTTCGACAGCTGCCCCAGATCGCTTTCTTAGTTGTTCACGTTTGGGTGTTGGTTTGTGTAGAAGTGGTTCGGAGTTGGTTTTCTAGAAGTTGGAGATGATTTTGGTCTAGTTATTAGTTTTTTTCCTTATGTTTTTTCGTGTGATTTCTTTATTTAGTGTTTTTTCTGAGCTTTTATTCTCTTGTTGGGAGCTCTTATTATATTCTGTTGTTGAGAGTTTATATTCTCCACTTGTGGGAGTTTCCTAGTCTTTTAGTGTTTGTTTTGTTTGTTATTGGTTGGTTGTAGGCTACCCTTAGTATAGTCCTCCCAACTAGATTTAATCGGGCGACTGATTTATTCGGTGGTGGTTATTTGTTGTCTAGTATGTAATTATGTATTGTTTTTTTTATAAAGTTTGTCCAAAAAAACATAAAAAACAAAAAGAAAGAAGAGTGAGATTAGAAAAAGTGGTAATACCACAATATAATCATAAAAGAAATAGAAAAATGAAATTTGACCTTTTTTTTTTCAAAATAATGAAAACTAGCCATTTTGGCTTGAAAGATATCATTATATTCCTTATCTCTAGTGCTAGTACCAAATGACCATTTATAAAGGAAATAGTTGAAATAATGAGTTATTCAATTGTAGATGTTAAAATGGATGGAAATCCTTAAAAAACAGATAGATGATTTATTCAAATGTGTAATGTTGACGAGCGTTTTCGGTCAACGGTTGAGATTGAAAGTATTGAAAGTACAAGACTGAAAATATAAGAAAGATAGGGTCTAATTGTGAATTTTATTAAACGATCACGAGGTCGGCCTCTCGTACGAGGTCGGCCCTTATGATATCCTTACAATCCTTACAATTCTTAGAGGGAGAAAGTAGAAGAAAACTTGTGTTAGTTGGATTTCAACAACCCCAAAATAAATAAGGTGGACTGCTATTTATAGCACTCTTAAATGGGGTACTGTTCACCGGTCTTGTCGTACAGTAGTTTTGCAGAGCAGTTCGGCGTTTCCCTGACAGTTCATTAATGCGATTTGAGGTTTTCCCAATCATTGCTTGCTTTGCATTAAATGCAGGTATGGGCAGCATTTAATGCTGATTGGACGACTGTGACAGGCCGTCCCATCAGTGAATGATGACCTCCTAAGTGGTGAATATTTTAGTGGTGACCGGACCGGCATTATTATTTGGCGAGGCGGCCCTAGTTTACTCAGGTCGGCACCCTCGCTATTAAGGTCCGCGTATCCCGGGTGAGCCTTTCCTCAGTTCGGCGCCAAGATGAGACCGGCTCGGCTCCCGACATGTCGGGAGCCGGGCTCGGGAAACGTTCCCTTCGACCCGTACTGTATATAATTTCTTGGCCCAGGTCGGCTCATATGTTCCTGATCGGCCCGGCACTTTCCAGGAGTTCGGCCCTATGTTACTCATGGGGCCGACCCGTTTGGTTCTGACCCAACAAATCCGGATGTCAACATGTAACAATAGTTTAAGGATTCTAAACAAGATAATCAATAGCAGCTAAAATAATCGATGATATCAAGCAAGAAAATGCTAAATGTCTTTGTAAAATTCTCAAAAAACATGAGATAACTCTCAATGAAGAAAATGAAGAAATATGAAGTTGAGGAAATCCTAATGTCTTTAAATGACCAAGAGATGCCCTAAGAAAAAGAATTATCAAGAAAAACTTAAAAAAAAAAATTCTGGAATCTGAACAAGCCGAAAGACTTTAGCATACGATCTGATTTTTAGAAATGGATAGAAAAAAATGTATTTCAAATCTAGAATTAGATTATGAAACGAGATTTTTTTTTTTAAAAAAAAAAGTTTGATAAAAAAAATTATCAATTTGAAGAAAGTGAAACTGATACCCATCAGAATCAGCAATAAAAAACTTCAATAATTGCATTTGCTGCTATCTTGTGGTGATGAAACTAGCTCTAGTCGGTTTGCATGTCATGTGTTTGTGAATATGCTTGTTTGACTTCAGGTGATTGTGCTGAGGAGTTTCAGTATGTTACATTTGTTAAGAATATTTATCTCTGATTATCTCGACTTAAATGTTCTAAGAGTTCCAAACAACATTTCTTCTTGACTGAAGACTGATAATGTGTTCGCTCTGCTTCATATCAAGAGTTCAGCTTTGCTAACTATAAAGATACTGGGGGCTTACGAATTGTGCTTTGCAGTTGATTCTTTCATCTTTTTGCTTGTACTTGTTGGGTCACCGATAAATTTCTGAAGTAAAGATTTCCTTATTTTGTGAGCATGTTTAGGACTGTGTTGTGTGTGTGTGTAAAATACAGGAGAAGATCTCGACTTGTGGTGAAGGCATCTTCTCGTGTCGATAGGTTCTCAAAAGCTGAAATTATTGTCTCTCCATCTATTATTTTGTGAGCATGTTTAGGACTGTGTTTTGTGCCGAATATTACGATTGGGCCCCTCGTGGTCGATGCCCTGCGACCACTCACCGAGCTACCCTTGGATGTGCATTTGGTACTATACTCGATTACCTAAATTATTATAATAATACTATTTATGTTTGAAATTTCTTCCATTAAAGTGAACTTCATTTTAACATTAATAAAGCATGACAGATGATTGTTGAACCCGAGCAGCGAGTCCCGGATTTTATAAAGGCTGGAGCTGATATAGTCAGTGTTCATTGTGATCGATCTTCAACCATCCATTTGCACCGTACATTGAATCAAGTAAGATTGTGGTTGGTTGTGCAAGAGTTTTGTTTGATTCGTTCAATTATCAACGCGAATTTGCCAAATTAGATATAGCTAGTGATTTTACTGAAGCTTGACTTTTAGTTTCAGCATCTATATCAGTTCTCTGCTATTGTTAGTTTTTTTGTTTTTAATTGGAGTAATTAGTTTAGATTTTCATGAATTAACTAAGTTTGGGCTTTTTCATGGTTTAGACTTGCTTGTTATATTTGCTGATTAGTTACCTGCATTTGCACTTTTTTCGGTTTAGATTAAGAGTCTGGGAGCCAAAGCTGGAGTTGTGCTGAACCCTGCAACTCCATTAACGACCGTAGAGTATGTTCTTGATGGTTAAGATGAAATGTTTTCTTGAAATATACATGAAGAAAATACCTCTGATGATATTTTTTGGTCGACTGAATTTGACATATTATAGCCATTTGCATTTTGTATTATTTTACAGTGGTTGATCTTGTACTAATTATGTCCGTCAACCATGGATTTGGCGGGCAAAGCTTCATAAGAAATTGGGAAAAATATGTTATATCTTATTCACAAGACATGTACACATATATACAAAATATATTCTAACAACTAGAAAGGACAGATTTTTAAGACGATCATATGTTTGTAGCTTGTATATATCTTCGTTAAGAATTTTGTGTAATAAAGATAATAAATAGCCTTCAGGTACATGTGTTGCTTCAGTTGAAAAAAAAAAAATGATTGAGTGAAAATTTGAATTTAATTGTGAGTTTGGGAGTAGATGAGTTGAAATGCAATGGTTAAAGTTGATCTGAAATAAAAGTAGTAAAATAATTATAAAAAATGATTGATAGGTAAAATGTCGTTAAAGTAGTAAAATAATTGATAGGTAAAAATATGTAAGTAGTGAATAGTGAAGTTTGTTGGAATTGTGTGACAATGGTTGATTTTATTATTTGATTATATTTATAATATTAAGGAAAATCGAGTGGATTAAATTTAACTTGAATTTTGAGTTAAAATTTGTATACAATCGCAGTTTTGTTTAAAACAAATATCCGACAAGTCAAAACAAAACAATAATCAATTTTCAATTGCAAATTAAAGACTTGGTTGGTATAATTCATTTCATATAAATTCATTTTCTTTTCTACTAATCAATCCATATAAACTCTAAATTTGAGCATCTTTTACTTTGGCTGCATTATCAATAATGAGCCACCTTATATAAAGTTTATCAATAAGTGGGTTAGTGCTATAAAGCATAATGAAAAACTTGTATTGTACTTTGTACAAACTATCACCATATCTTTACCATAGTAGATTATTCATTATGTACATATAAGTGAAATATCCTCTCTATATATTAATGTAGAATTTTACGATATAGACTTTTGGTGCTTCGTAATTCATGTGTCGAATTCTAGTGCTTTTATAATACTGTGTGTCAATTTTTAGTGCTTCGGAGTAATCCATGTTGATCTGACTAACCTAAATTATAAATATGTTTAAAAGTCAATAACTTTTATATTTGTTATATATTTTTCTATTACAATATATCAAATCAATAATATTCTTTTGATGAACTTCGATTTTGATATCTAATTGTTTATCATTTATTAATACTAATAAAAAATTGATAAAATTATATTTCAGTTAAAAAGATTGTTATAATAACTAATTAAATCATCTCTCTTATTAATTTTTAAGAATTTTCATAATTTTTTTTAACTAACTAGTATTCATTAAATGTTTATAAAAAATTCTTAAAAATAATTAATGTTACGGTTCGGTTACGGTACCATCCCGTCGAGTATTTTAACCGTTAAATACATATGTAGTTAGTATAAGATAGATGATCCTAATGGTTAAAAGAAATACCGTAACTAGAGATGTTAAATGGTCCTTGGCCCGACGGGCCGACCCGTTTAGCCCGAAAAAATAGGGTTAGGTCATTTTATTAGTAGCCCGTTTAAATTATAGCTTTTTAGGTCCGGATCGTTTAGCCCGAAGCCTGCTAGGCTGGCCCGAAACTCGCTAGGGCTGGCCCGTTCAACTAGGGTTGGCCGGTGTAAATGTTTGCATAAAGTAAGTAATATGCTCTTAAATTACTTGTATATTACAATTTTGGTATTCCACTTCACATGTAAGTATGAGTTGTAATGAATTATTATGATTTTGAAAGATAATTATTAACAATATTGTTATTATACTTCATACCAAAATATTTAAGTCAATCAGAACGACTAATAGGAAACACATTAAACATAGTGATAGACGGTAAATACTGAATAGCCGTTGAAAATAATTTTTAACTAGTCGTTGTTATTTTTTTTATATATTTTTTACTTTTTTTTTTATTTTTGATTTATTTATTTATTTATAATTATTATTATTATTATTATTATTATTATTATTATTATTATTATTATTATTATTATTATTGTTGCACGCATAGCCCGTTTAGCCCAAAGCCCGCTAGGGTTAGGGTTAGTTCCTTTTTTTGTAGTCCATTTAAATATGGATTATTTAGGTTCGGACCGTTTAATTCGAAGTCCGCTAGGACTAACACAAAACCGTTAGGGCTAACACATTTAACATCTCTAACCGAACATAAGCATAGCTTTCCCTATATTTTATTCAATGGACCTAATCATAGGAAATACCTCGTCGGATTTGACATCATTCAGTCATCCTTCGGACAATCATCTTTGGAATATGGTTTTCCCCAAGAATTAATTCCTTTCTTGCCCCACACTCGCCATTCTGCATCTCAGTCGTAAACGAACCCAATAAATAAACAAACAAATCCAAACCCTTCCTCAACAATTTGGCGCCGAATTTTTTCATTTCTTCTCGAGTTAAAGGTCTGAAACTGGAAAAGGGAATGGCGGTTACCGGCGGCGATCGTTCGGAGATAGCTTTCTTCGACGTGGAGACTACCGTGCCGACCCGAACGGGTCAGGGCTACGCCATCTTGGAATTCGGGGCCATCCTCGTCTGCCCCAAGAAGCTCGTGGAGCTCCGGAGCTACTCCACCTTGGTCCGACCCGCCGACCTAACCCGCATCACCTCTCTCTCCGTCCGGTGCAACGGCATTACCCGGGACGACGTCGTTTCTGCACCCTCCTTCGCGGAGGTTGCTGATTTGGTCTACGACCTCCTCCATGGTAATTTAACTTTTTACACTCTTTCTTCCCCCAATTTTGCAGAAAAATTGCTGGGTTTTTGTGGTAAAGGGGTTGTCTGTTTGTGTTTGTTCTGACTTCTGAGTATGTTGTAAGCGTGGAGAATGGTGTGATGAGCCGTCGGCTGAATTTTGATGGGTGTGTGATTAAGGCAAGACGGTAATATGCTCTGTGTCTAGAAAATGGTAAAATCATTTTATAAGCTGATTATGATGGTTTTGAGGAATTTATTAACTTTGGCTCTTTGTTGAAGAATAAGGAAAGGATATAAATGGTTTTGAGATATTTCTGACAAGAACTCATCTTGTGCATAAAGAAGGATTTTATTTTATCTTTTTTATTCTGGGTTCTTGAGTAATTTAGCAGTTTTTGATGATTTGTGATGGTATTCTTTTCATTTCTTTATTCAATTATAGTTTTGTTTGGATTTTTTAGTGCTGACACATTGACACGGTTGTTACATTCGGAGCACAGGAAGGATATGGGCTGGTCATAATATATTGAGATTCGATTGTGCTCGTATAAGAGAGGCATTTGCTGAGATTAAGAAGCCTGCTCCAGAGCCTAAGGGAACGATCGATTCTCTGGCGATACTAACGGAAAAGTTTGGAAGAAGAGCTGGTGATATGAAGGTAGAAATTCTGTTTTGGAAAAGAACTACTCTTATCGTTTCAAGAAATTCATCGGTAATATTGTATCATACCTTTGGATTCATTTGAGAACAAAATTAATGGTTGGCTTAATGGCTTCGGCAATCGGCAATTTTTTTTTTCGGTTCTATTACGTGTATCTTTTTGCTGTAAAAGTGTCTTGGTTGATTGTGCCTTCTACAAATTATATTTCTAAAGGTTGTTCTGTAAGCATTAGTTATAATATTCTGAGATCCTTTTGCAGATGGCATCTCTTGCGACATATTTTGGGCTTGGCCAGCAAACACATAGGTAATTTGCCTCTACTTTAAAACTTTATCAATTCTATTTATATCCCGTCTAGTTTACATTTACAGTGTTATTTTGCTTATTTGCATCACATTATCTGTCAGGGGCATGGTTAAAATTGTATCAATGCTTACTAGGAATACTTATGTGCATTTATAGATAGTTTGATGAAGTGATTGTAGTTTCTTTACTTCTTATGACTAGGTTTGTGGTAGACCTCACAAATTGGGCTACCCTAATTTTTCCTTATGAAATATTTATAATTATATATTTGAAGCTTGTAGCTTTTATTTCACTATAGCTGTTTCTGAGTATATTGATCTGCACAAGTTTTTCTTCCCAATTCGCACTATATAAATAAAATTCACAGTCTACTAAACAACCGGCTTCTGCATGTTTCCTATCTTTTTTGAAGAGGTATATTGATCTGCACAAGTTTTTCTTCCCAATTTCGCACTATATAAATAAAATTCACAGTCTACTAAACAACCGGCTTCTGCATGTTTCCTATCTTTTTTCATAGCCTTTGTTGTTTGGCGCCCTTTGATTGCAAAGTGAATACCATTAAAGCATTTTTATATAATTCATATAAGCGTGTGTTCCACTACAAGAATGATTTGTGTATGGAAATCAAAGTTGAAGAGATTCTGACACGTTCCTGTCTTCCAGCTTATATAATTTAATTTTGACTTTTTTTTTTTACCCTTTTCAGGAGTTTGGACGATGTTCGCATGAATCTTGAAGTTATCAAGTATTGTGCAACTGTTCTATTTTTGGTAAATTCACATCCCTTTAGCTTCTCTATAAGATTCCTTTTCGTGGCGAACGAGCTCTATCTTCTTTTTAGTTCCAGACCTTCTTGCTTTGTGTATGCGCTAATTAACTATTAATATGTTCCCCTCTAAGTAATCTTGATAGGAGTACAGTTTTGTAGTGCTCAAACATTTGAAACCTCCTTTTTTAAGCATCACCATGTGTCTCAACTGTTCATGTAAGTCAATTTGAAGGTTCAACTAAATCCATGTTATATTAATTCTTCATGCAGGAATCCAGCCTTCCAGATATATTCATGGAGAACAATTTGGTTTCCCCAAATGCCATCCCAAGAGGCCGAATTAACGAAAAAACTTCTCGAGAGCCGAACGAGAGCACTCCACCATCATCATCGTCAAGAATTGACGAGGCAAATCATCCTATACTGTCGATAAATTCGCCACCGACCGAATCAAATCCTCCTAGCGCGGGTCCCTTCAATCTGACGGACCTTCTCGTTCGAATAAATGACGACACTCTTGATGAGGACCATATGGAGGAAGAGAGAAACGACTCGGCAGCTGAAGAATCTTCGAATGCGGTAAATTGTGGGCATCAAAGTGATTTCCTGAAGCCAGATGATGTATCAATACCTTTAATAACTGTAACACTCGTGCCCTTTTACCGGGGGACTCAAAAGATACAGATAATGCTCCAAAATGTCCCGTTGCAACTCGGCTGTGCACACCTGAAGGTCCGATTCGGGATCAGTTCAAAGTTTGTCGATCATGCTGGTCGGCCACGTTTGAGTTTTGTGGTTGATGCATCTCCGAGCCTTTGCACGGTTCTCGATGCAGTTGATAATCTTGCCCAGAAGCTGTTGATTGATTCAGGCACCTCTTCTGATTGGCGGCCTGTGGTTATTAGGAAGAATGGCTTCTTCAACACCCCCACTGTTCGATTACAGTATGTTTCTCCTTATTACAATTATTTTTTCCTCAACATTCATAATAGTGATTTATTTCTTACTAAAATTCTTTGCACCTTGAATATTTCCTTGATTCTCATTATATTTCCTTGTGGGCCTATAAAAGAATGACAGTATTGTGCGTATGCTTGATAAAGATCTAAGTATTCGTTTTGGATGGAACAATTAGGATTTTGAGTTAAGGATACAGAATGAACACATATCACAATATTCGTCACCACCACTGAAAATTTGTTCGAAATATGAGCTCAGTGTCTTGAAACCCTTTATTTCCAGATGCAAAGTTTCTGAAAATTAAAGAAACTGCCCCGTAAGGTTTTCTGAATTTTACAAACACTCTTTCTTCCTAAACGACCTTGAGTCCCATACGCATAGTCCATAGATGTATTTTTTCAGGATTGTATGAATTTAGCTTATGTGATCAAGGAATCACTTTTAACGCGTTTCATTTCACATGGCTATAGCCTCCCGACTGCAGGAGATGGTGAAATCACCCGATGCACGACAGAAATATACCAAACGGACAATTCAGCCACGCAGAGGCCCGTGTTTAGTAGATTCGACATTATCGAGCTCAAATCCTTATTTGCTCCTGGAAAAACCGTGGATGCGTGTTTTTCCTTGGACGTGTATGATTACCAGCAGAATGCGGGCATTCGATTGGTCGCAAAGAAACTTACGATTCATTGCAGCTGAATTGATTGGTAGATTTAGCGACTTAGTTATTCATCCAAGCTGTGGCAGATAAGTGACTGTAAACTAATACGTTTTAGATGGGGGCTGATTTTAGGGAAACCTTTTACTTGTCACTGTTATCATTTGTAAGAAAATGTCCTGTCTGATTCAACTTTTTAAATTTGGTGCTGTATTTGATTGATGGCAATGTTACTTACTACATTAGTTTCTGTAGCAATCTTTTGGGTTCGGTAAGTTTGGTGCCCCTAACCTGTTTGGTTTGAGTACGGGAATGAACCTTGCATGCGTAAACCGAACTTTTGTCTTCATTGATCGAGGTTGAGTTCGACGAGTCCTGTACTATGGTGCTCGACTCTACTTAAGAAAAAATAGGAATCCTTGATCTCGACTTGATGCTCAACATGGCTCGAGCTTGGCTTAAAATTCTAACAATTAAATTTTTAAATATAAAGGTTAATCCAAGTAGACAATTTTAGCCTTGGTTTCCCAATGTTTGATAATTAAAAATATGTATTTATGTAAATAAAAAGTCGAGCAACTCGTCGAGCTTACAAGACTCTTGAAATGATGCTCGAGGCTCGACTTGTTTGTTTGATTGAACTGCTCAAGATCACTCGCAAGCGGCCGCTCGACTCGTTTGCAACCCGAAGTGATCATTTTTGGTCTGCATTTAATGGTACAAATTTTGGAGGACCATTGGATGATTGAGGTGAATCAATTTGGATTCAGCTCGCCAATGAGCCTCCTTTACTCTTTTCTGTGCTGACGTGGCCGCCCCTCCATCTCAAACGAACTATCCTCCACCCACCCCACCCCCCCTTTTTCCCTTTTCTAGCCCTCCACGTCACCCTCTCTATCTAACGTGCGCGCCCCCTAACTCCCACCCATCGCCGCTCCAATCACCACCGTCCGATCCGCCGATCCGGACGCTCCGCCTCCCGACACCTGGACAGGCGCACGTTAGCTCCCCACTAGCATTTTAAGAAATATCTCTGCATTGCTTTCCAAGTGTTCGGAGCTTTTTTCTCTCTTTTCACGGTAAAAAGTGCTATACAGCAGCCTATAATGTGTGCCTAAGCCTACGGACTGATTGGTGCGGGCCGGCCCGGCATGTGCTAACGTGCGGTCGAACCGGAGGAGCAGTTGGGTTTGGTGCTTTCCCTACCCAACTCGCATGTGAATAGTTGACTGTTCTTCGCATTTTATAGCTCTCTG